ATCACATTGCTTTACCGCCAAACCTGTCTAATCTTCATGATGTATTCCATGTATGACAATTGAGGAAGTATTATCCGGGCCCTTCACGTGTCATTGAGCCTGAAACTGTGGCGACTCTGTTGTATCTTTGAATGTGCGATTCACTCAGGTATAATCCCGCTAGCTTCACCACCGAACTTTATTCATTCCAATGAAAGAATAGAAAAATATCGAGAAAATCTTTAAGATATAAGGACATGGTCATCGCAACTAAATTCTAGGTTCGAGAGTCGATTACGTAAAGGGAAGATATTAGTACCCCTCACGTCCATTGTACTCAATGGGAACCTCTTAGTTCGATTTGTGATGAATGTTAGCTAATGTTATTTGTTTTCTTCTAAGTGAATAAAGCGAAAAGGTAAGGTAAAAGGATTTTTTTCTAAGGGGAAAATGGATGGTTTTTTATTAGGGTGCTCGCCAAGGATTGGGGTCCTTGTACCTTGTAACCTCCTAATTTTCCATACACTAAATAATATATCTAATTAGATTTGATATTTTAACACTACTAGTTATTAAAAATTAAATGTTGAAACTAACACTTATAATAACTAATTTATCAATTAATTACTTTTTATATTTATTACCTTTATTCTTCAATTTGAATATCATCGTTTCATTTTACAAACTAAACTTTGTTTAATACTTAAAAGACTTAACTTTAAGTTAATTAATTATTCATATTATTATTATCATTATTGTTGTTGTTGTTGTTGTTTTGTTATTATTATTAATTGATTTTATTTTATTTGAATATTATCATTTTATTCTACAAACTAATTAGTAAATAAAATAATCTTAAGTCAATAAATATATCAAATAACTATCATTGTCATCATTTTTATTATTATAAATATTATTATTTTATTTTATTTTTATAAAAGAAATATATATCTCATTTTCTATCAATATCCTACATGATATTATGTCATGAAATCAAGCTCCCATACCTTTGTCATAAATTATTTTCACAAAGTCATACTAGAACACCTAAAGAACTATTGATGTAAGATTAATAAATATTTGATAGAGACATATTTACTAGCAAGAGTTGAAAAGTTGGAAGGTATGGGCAAAAGAAGATAAATTAGGTTATTTTAATATTTTACAACTAGTATAAATAGGGGTCTTTTCCACCCCATTTTCATTCAGTCATTCACAAATCATCTTTCTTACTTCTTTACTTCCTTCCTTCTCTAATTTCTTCATATAACAATATTAGTTTTAGTTATCGAAGTTCCCACGATATCGGTTCATAACGTTTAGAGTATTTTGTGGTAAAAGTTCTTCTAAAGTTTCAAAGGAGTTTTATACGTTAAAATAATAATAATAATAATTTTCCCCTTGGACCCTTAATATGATTTTCCCACTTTATCCTCACTTATTCCACCCAACATTACCATCTTACCCTTACTGTTCCCTTCCTATTATTTAAAATAATAATAATAATAATAATTTAAATAAGATTATTCACATTATTCTACTATTATTATTATTATTATCAAAATAATTCTAATTAATCATACATTTCTAATCATCCTTAACACCCTCTTAATATGAATAATACCTACCAACACAAATCATCAGACTTCAAAATATTTCACCAAATTCACTGAAATCACAAATATTTATAATAAATTAATTAAATAAATATTCTAATTATTTTGGGGCGTTACAGTTAGCGCATCCCCAAGGGACGTCTTCCCAAGTACACTGACGACTGGCCTATCACGAAGGTGATGCACGTCACTGTTGTTCATAACACGAAAAAATAGCATTTTTCACTATGACTACACCTTCATACCTCTGATTTCAATTCTAGAGAACCCCGTGGGCACAACAAATCATCATACATCAATTATATAACATTAGCACATCAATAACACACATATTAGTCATATATGACATCAATTAGCCGCAAAATCATCATGATGTTCATCAATTCAAAGCATATACACATGAACATCCAAATTCAGAATTATGTATACGGATTGATACGAAAATTAGAAATCAACAGAGCACGAAAACAACAACATATCACAACAATCTGGAGAGGTTTTGCACAAACCATCTCAAGATTCAAATTTTGAATCAATGGAGGAAAAAGGAAATGAAAAAGGAAATGGGTTAAGGATTCCCCTCTATCCTCCATGCTTAAACACCCTCTGCAGAAAACTTGAATTTACGGCCATAGAGTCTCTTCTCCCACTCTTACTCTGCTAGGATTTTCCTCTCAACTCTATCGAAAACTTCTACGTACTATCAAACTCTCTACATTCCCTTCCATTTAAAATAAAACCTTATTTATTTTCATTTTAAATAATTCTACCAACTTCCCTCAACTCTCACTAATTCTATTCACTTCCTTAATTTTTAACTAAAAATCTATTGTTATCCCTAAAACCACATATTCTCACTTTCTACACTATTTAAACAAATAAAATTAAAAATGGAGATAATTTCTATTAAAAACACAACCACCTCAATATTACTTAAAGCACACTGAAACTCAAATAAAATATCCAAATCAAAACCGGGGTGTTACACATCCTAGCGTCAAGGTTTCCCACCCTAAAATCGATCTAAAGGCGCTTCAATTAGAGGCAGGATATGATGACTAACAAATTTGAAATTCGGTCATTTTTCTCAAATTTTATAAATGGATGAAAGTTATGATTTTAATGGTATAAGATTGAATATGGATACAAACTTTTAACTACTATTTTAGTTGGGGCGGAATTGAAACAAAATGAAATGAAGAAAGAAATTGATGAAAAATAGTAGAAGTGAGGCGCCACACTCTTTCTATGATTTAGAAAGGATGATAAGTATAAGGGAAGATTACCACAAGAAACTTGGTTTCTTGATAAGATAAAAAACTTGGTCCAATCCAGAACCGGATGAGCAAAGCTCTCAAAATCACACAAAGTGTTTGTTTAACAAAATTCAACTTGATTTTTCATTCAAGATTAGCTCCCTATTTATAGGTAAATGGTAGCTTACAATAATATCTTAAGAAATTCTACAAATTCAGCCCACTAAAGGTCACACACTAAAGGTGGTGGAGGAAGTGGATATTCATTGCCTTGATGAATAATAGCAATTTATAGCCACTTTGATTAATGCATCCCACATTTCTCTTTCTCCCTCCTTCAAAGTTTTACCTATTCATTTCTTCAGCCCACTATTTATTTAGAAACCTAAAAGCCACGAAATTGTAAAACTTTAAGAGCTTTAGAATGTTTAAAACACAAAAACAAAACAAAAAAACAAGTGTTTTTGGTCAAACTTTGACAAGTTGGGCCCTAACACATTTTATTACAACATAATTGATTAAAAATATCAAAATGGATTAACAAGTCCACATGACATGCCCACTTCATTAGCTTGGACCAAAATGACAAGTTTTATCCCATTTCCTTTCATTTGGTCTCTTACTCTCATTAGTTTGTTCAAAAATTGTATTAGAGCACCATTGACTTTCCTAACACATGCTCTTGTCATAGGACCTCCCAAGCTTTGGATTACTTCATTTAAGTCTTAGTTCTCCATGTCCTCATCAGGATACTCTCATCATAAGCCTTACCCGAAATCTACTTTAAGTTAGGCGCGAGATACTTCCTTGTTAAGCCCAATCTCTAGATGTCATATCTAGGATGCACACAGTTCCTCAAGCGTAAGGCCAAAAGGCAAAGCGTTTAAGGTGTCAATCTTATCCTACTCATTCCTAGGATACTCAAGATGTACTTTAAGTTAGCGGCCAAATACTATCACGTTAAATCCAATCTCGGGATGACATATCTATGATGCACAGAGTCCCCTAATCATGAGGTCCAAATGGACGAAGCGCTTAACGGTGTCAATCTTATCCTTCTCATTTCCAAAATATTTAGGATGTACTTTAAATTAAGGGTGAGATACTCTTGTGTTAAGCTCAATCTTGAGATGTCATATTTGGGATGTACACTTTTTATATATGTTTAATCAAAATATGAAAAATTGAATGGTATTAAGTTATTGATAGAGAATTTAGATTTTTTTCCTATAATAAATTTTAAAGAAATATATTGTAAAGAAAAAAAGGGATCCAATAAAAAAACACGAGTTTTATTTTGATAAAAACTTTAAAATATATTTCTTTTTCTAATTAAAGTATGATATAAACATATTAACGAAATAAATCAAAAAAGAAAAGGGAAAAACATGGATTTTATTTTGTTATAATTTTATTATATAATATTTGTCTAATAAAAATATATTGTTAAAAAATATAGAGACCAAATAAAAAAGAAAAAAAAACATACATTTTATTTTGTTAAAAACTTTTATATAATTTTTTCCTAATGAAAATATGATAATTTAAGAAGTTAGTGGAAAGAAAAATATTTTTAAGTTTTACTAAACTATTATAATATAAAATAAAATAAATATAAAAAGTTAGTGAAATTAAATAACTAACAAAGATAAAATTCAACAAATATAAAAAGTTACTAAAATAACTCTATTTATGAAGCCAAAATTTCCTTCAATAATTTAAAGAATTTGACATTAATATTAATTGTGTGTATATATAAGATATAATTGTTATTAAAACAATAATGACATAACTACAATTTCATATCATTATTCAAAAAACCTATATTTTTATGAGTCAAACTTAGTATGTACTTGCCATGATTCACTTACAAATACCATAGATATTGAACTATTATGAATCAATCAATCAGCAAATAAGTGAACTAAGAAAACTCATCAAACATAATAATTTAATTTAAAAACTCACTAGATGAATAGATGAATTTCACCAGTCTACCACACAGTATAAAAATGAATCTTTCTGTACACAATCTATATGTTTACAAAAGAATACCTCCCTAGTGGAGAAAAATGACACCATATCACATACATTTGATCTCGAACATAAGCCGGCTACGCCAAGCAGCTGAGAAGGAAATCATAATAGTCTATACAGGCCGATGAACATGCATATTCTCATGAACACTCATGACGACATTGCGCAATTCGGGGAATACGGATATAAGGAGAAGTTCAAGGATTGCATAAGCAAGTTGCTTCACACATACAGAAGACTACAACCACATGAGACATTGTAATTAATTGTTAGTTTAGAAGAAAAACAAAGATAACAACAACCAAACAGAAGAAAATCTTTGTGGCGATTCTTTGCCAAGTGAATAAATCTACAGGAATGAATGTGATTTTTAACTTATAAATCAATGAGTGAGAACTTTAACCTGACTAAAGTAATATATATCACTGGCACAACGTTTGTACTGCTTCTGCCCGATTAAGCTGACTAAGGCTGCCGGAGCTCCATCTGACAAAAATGGAGAAAACTTAAACATCAAATCCTTTGAACTTTGTATGTTGTTCAACTTCTATGATAGTATCAGAGTTTATCCTAGATTTGTTTGAGGACCTCAGCCCTGCAAATTACTCGCCCAGAAGTCTACTTCTAGGCACGAGTTGGAGCGTTGAGTCCAACCTAAGTCCAAATTCTAAGATTGAAATGAAATCTTAAAATCTAATGAGAGCAAGAATATGCAATAATGTCAAATGAATCAATACAAATTGGGCAAAAGATTAGAACTAACCAAAGAGAAGTTTCTTCACATCACTTGCTCTACGAGCAGCTTCTAGTTGTTCCTCGAAATACCCTCCTGTTTGTGATTTAGGCTCGTTACTTCCACCAGATTCACTTTGTAAAGGCTTCTGATCAATTACACCACCACCAATAAACAACTGAGGGGTCTGAACTCGTAAGAAAAACTTGCCACCGGGCCAGAGGATCTACAAGCATAAGCAGACATCACAAAAGCATTAGGATAAGTAACATGAACGAGGTATGCAGAATGTAAGTTTTGGAAAGAGTGAAACTAATTATGACTTAGAGGTGAAATTTGGAGATTATACTATATCTTAAGCCACATAATTTAAGTATCTTGCGTGAAACATAGTGTCATCTTGCTAATTTGCGTTTAAAAAAACAATTTGTAGTTGGAAAATTTTGACGTAATCCTTACATCTTGGACCCACCGAATTCCTTGGACGATGGTTTCCTCTCTCCTGAGCCAATGAATCTCAGTCAGGAGTATATCATCAATTGCGTCTTCCATCACCAACTGTAGTATCTGCTTTGATATCCAAAAAACTTGTCTCCTGCATGAACAAAAAATGAACTAGCATTAGATAAACAGCATAACACTTGATATTTTTCTCAATCTAAGCCATTTCATGCAAGTTACAAAAAATTGAAATCTTATTACGTCGTATTCAAATTTTAATTAATAATGAGAGGAGGGTGTAATGATTGAAATTCCGTTTTCATAATTCATACCATGTCAAGAACGGTCAGAATAAGTAATATACCTTAGCCAGCCTCTTTTCTTAAGCTGAAATATGTTGTCAACCAAATTCAAAATAGGGACACTCACATTAGGAGGGGTCCACTGCAAAAATGGTTAAAACTATAAAGATTAGTAAAGTAAAAGAAAGAAATAAATTGATCCACTGGTCTCTGTAACTTTTGTAAATGTTTAAACCCAAATGACTACACAGACCTCAGGCGGCACTCCAATTGGGTCGTCCGGATTATCATGAACTAGATTTCCATTTGTAGTTGGAACATCCTTGCCAACCTTTGCTTCATTCACAACATCGTGTTTTCTATCAAGATCCATGTTACCAGGCCCATTACCATGGTTTGTTACCCCTTGTGAATTATCCTTCGAGCTCAATTCATTGTCAGAATGCCACGCGCTATCTTCTCCTACTTCTCTATCGATATTCTCACGTCCGTGATTCAATTCTTTTTCACCTTCCTCATTATCAGAGCACAACACACTATCTACACCACTTTTCCTCGGAATACTACTTTCCATTTCATCCATGTTCAAAGTGAAAGATGTAGAAGAACCTTCCACAGTAGGGGATGATGTAGTGACAACTTTTCGCTTTAAATCATCTGAAACACCTTTAAACTGCCGTACTATATCGTCCACGGCATCGTCTACATTGACTGCCAGGGTCCTCATCATTGAAGAAGATTTCCCAAAAGAGTAATTCTTCCGGAGGAAAACAGCAGAAAAGTTTGTTAGATTGTCATTCTTCCTATACCTATAATGGCCACTCAAATGATGTTATGATAAGAAATATCAACCTTTGAGGAAACACTTAAGAAGTCCCATACTTCGTGTTGTTCAGCAACATTAGCTATTGACAGGAGATCCTGAAAAAAGACCGCGTAATTGAGCAATGACATAGCAAATAAAAAGTTACAGCAGGAAATATTTCTTTAAAGAGTTGTAGACAACGATGACTGAGCATACGTGGAGATATTTATCAAGTTGAATGCAACGCTGATGTACAAAGGCATCTTCTGTGCTTGAGGAAAATATCCTTTTGGGAGGCAAATGTAATGTGTAGTTAGGAATATGTTTTAGATGTCGATGCAATCGCTCAAAGTTCCTGTATCTAAATATCATCAAAAGAAAATCAGTACGCCGTCGCCAACGATCAAATATAAATATGAAACAACACAATGTTGAAACTCTATCATATTTATTCTCTATCAAGAATAAGTTTCAACCAATTTACAGATTTGAACAACACAGCCTGCATAAACCGAGCTCAATCTAACTTGTCTTTGTCTATATGATATCAAAGCTCAAACCAGCGAACCTTGTACCTTCTTTTTACAAACCATGTTTTTTCTTGCCCATCGGTTACTGCGATTGAATATACAGCAAAAGAAGTGGCGCCAAGTTTCTCAAAATAGGCTCCCATCACCTGTAGTGTACAATTAGACAATAAATAGCAATGAAATTAGTTTAAAACAAGTATTCACAAAATAATTTCGCATCTATCAGACTTGATTCCATTCTCATTCATATTTCCTAAATCAATTACATTTTATAGATTAGAATCGTATCTTCAGAGTTTGTAGATTGTTGTAGTTTTTGAATGTTTTTCCAAATATACTTTAATGTATGGAAAATGGAAAATGGAAAATGGTGAGACAACAAATACATCCACTTATGCGAAAAAGAGACAAACTTTTTGATTTAGCGTAACAAGTCATTTGAGCAATAAATACGCTTAAAAAGTTGTAATTTTTTCTTAGAACATTTTTAGTCAAAGGCGCATACCCGGCACCGAAGCTTTAGAACACCTTGTCCCTCTTTCCTAATAACCATCTCAGAAGCAGTCTTTCCCCAAAACCATTCACGCTTCTTAAAATCAGGGGAGTGGCACTCGGACACATTGAGCCCACCTTTATGTGATTGGGCTCCCAAGACAGAAGTACTTTCGGTTCTCCTGAGTGGAAGTTTATGTTTATTAGAGCCAAGATCCCTGATATCAGTCGCTTCGTCAACTTGTTGATGATCTGCTTCAAAAGATAAATTCTTGTCATTATCTGCTGAAGACTCCAACACGGCTGCGATTACATTATATAGTGTGGAATCTGAGCCCACGGTATGCAATGTTTCACCAGGTTTAGTCACTAATGTTTCATGAGCGAAATGTTTATCAAAGAGTGAGTTATCTGCAGAAGAATGTTTTGCTTTTGCATAAGATCCAGCTTTGGCATTTTTACGACTTTTCTTTCCGTAATTCCTTCCTCTTGCCCACATGTTCTCAAGATTCTCAGGCATAAGAACTTCGGTTCTTCTCTGAGTTGCTGCATCCAACATTTGTGCCCAATCAGCAGAGGATGCGTTATTATGATTGTGAGTTGGAGCATTTGAACTCTGATCACCACAGCGAAGCCAATTTATATCCCCGTCATTAAGGAGAAGTAGAAGAGACTCAATCAGCTCATTGATATACCTGGCATAAAGAAAAATACGTTTTTACAAATGGAAATTGCAGTTTTAAACAAACGAGTTTGATCGAATATTTAATTAGCCGATTTCGAATAGTTCACGGATAGCTTTGCTCATTTATATCCTTTAAATATGAGAAAAATTATTTAGCAACATACGCAGGGCTTGCCAAATTCATTATAGGTTGCAATATCAAGCAAGTCACAATTTCCCGAGCTATTGATCGAATGACAGGGACCTGAGCTTCTGGTTTTCTCAGTACCGTAGCTAGTACTCCACTGATTAACCGCTGAAGAACCTAATAAAGAAAGAGAAATCATTAGATAAGGTATGAGATGTATAAATTCTTCAAAAGCTAATTAGAGATAACATTCAGACACTCCACTCACACCTTGTACTCACTCTCTGGAGATATAAGCGCTGGATGAAGCTCCTTGGAGTTCAACAGATGGAACTTCAATCTTTCATCCCTCTCCTCAGAAGACAGTGTTAACATAACATCAACACCTATAGCAGCTTGATTTCTTCTGAAGAGGTCTATATGATCGCTTATTAAATCAACTATATCACTGCAATGCAAGTGAAATATAACACAATTAGTATCTTTAAAATCTTATCTAGCACTACCTCCGTCTCTAAATATAAGATTCTATTGATTAAATCATAAGAATTAAGAAAGTTAGTTGGTCCAGTGGTGATTGACGTTGGACTTGGTAGAGAGAACCAGATTCGATTCCCCGTAACTGCGATCAGGAGGGGGCTGGAACCACTTGATGGCAGAACTGATCCCCAAACTGGATTAGTCGGGCTGGAACCACTTGGTGGTGAAAACTAAAAAAAATATAAAAAATTAAGAAAGTTGATAGTAGAATAAAATTTGTTGACCTTGTGAGCAAGTCAACAATGTTAATCTCTTTAACCCTAACTGTGATTTCGGCAATAGCGTCCATGATTAAGTCGCGTATCTGCTCAGGAAACTCCCCATCTGAAGTAATGTCGGCATACCACATATTTATAACAAAATCCTTCAATATTAAATCAATGAAATCGTTCAAAGCAGCCTCCACTGCAGGAGAATCAATCTTTTTTTTCCATTTGGGAGGGGGAAGTGAAGTAGAGATGCGCTCATTGTCTAGAGGGAGCTGCTTTTTCTCCAAATGAGATAGGTAAGTTTGTAATTTAGGTGACTGAACCTTCCAACGAAACTCCACCTTGTTCACAAGAATCCTCAGACCCGCAAAAAAAAGAATGGACATTGGTAGATTCATCCACATTGATTTACTTGTATCTATAATGAACAACAAAGAAAATATAAACAAAAAAAATACACTTTTACAATCTTACACAGCAAAAATAGTATATACCAATGAAATAGTAAAACTCAGGTATATAGGATTGACACTCTGATTGAAGGCATGTTTGGTGTTCAACACATGTCCGAGTCCGATACTACTGATAGTCAGACATAAACACCAACACTCGTGATTATATTCAATAACTTCCATTTTCTCAAATTATTGTGAGGATCCATGTATCAGTGTCAATATCATATGTCTGGTGTATGCGTAAGTGCTTTTTAGAAACCCAAAAAGGAAAATAGCCAGTGTAAATTAAAAACTCAAAATTTGCAATCATAAAGCAAAACCCACGTACCAAAACAGCAAATGTGAATCAAAGACTCAAACTTTACATGGTTAGAGGAAAACCCAGATAGATAGAAAAGAAAGAAAAAGAAAAAAAGCAAATGCAGTAAAACCCAATCGCTAGATTGAAGAATAAATGAGATGAAAGAAATGGGATTGGAATGACTTACGAGTTAAGAAATAGGAAATGGCGAAAATACAAAGAGACCACCAGAGAAAACGGAGCTTAGCCTCTTCAATGAGATCAAAGATGGTATCCATGATAAGAGGACCCATCTTCTTCTTCTTCTTCTCGGTTGTGTATCTGAAAGCCAAGTATTTGACACCTTCAAATGTAGCATAGCGCTAACCTCGCTCTCTTTCTCTTGTTCGGTTTCAGTTTTGTCCACCTAAGCCAAATCATACTAAATGGAACTCTATGTTTTGAATCATTATGATCGGTTTGATTGTGATTTTACCTCCCTTTGAACATAAAATGAACTATTTCTCTTCTTGGATGGGAAAAATTAGTAAATTCACACTTTCCTTCAATATTATTGATAAACTTTTAAATAAATTTTACTTGAAATAAAAACACAATTTTCAATAAAATTATTATTTTTAAACAAAAACCTCCTAATATTTGGATATGTAGTGTACTCATCAATGATAATTCTCCTAATAAAGATAAGTGAAGTTACAGTAAAAAAAAATAGTCTAATGAATGGTGAACAATGTCCCACTAACACTCTTCTTCTTATATAGTGGTTTTGATATGTAACTTCATCGGAGATCATTTAATATGATTAACCATGATTAGTATGACCTCTTAATGGCGATTGAGAATTACACTTGATTGTCTTAAGTATCTGAATATGATATTCTTTCATTAGCCATAAATGTGTCATCAATCATATCTTAATCAAATATTGGCGTATACCAGACTTATATCAGCGTAGTCAATCTAGCATGTTCGGTATTTTAGCCCGACCACACTTTTCTGGGTGGATCGTTTAGTTAGGGCGAACTTCATTGGGTATGAGTTGACACATGCTCACTTTATGACCCAACCCAAGAAATCAAACATGTACACAACCCCTAAAGCATGATTTGTGTAAGTGTGAAATGCTTTCATGAGCCCTACCAAGAAAGCGAACATGTACGCAACCCCTCAAGTATGAGTTGTGTAAGGGTGAAATGCTTTCTTGAGTCCTCCCAAGAAATCAAACATGTACATAGCCCATCAAGCATGAGTTGTGTAAGGGTAAAATGTTATCTCATGAATGGTCAACAATTAATCGACGTGTCTTGATGAAACCCATTTCTCGGGCGAGTTTGCTCTTACTTTTTAAAATGTGGTTATTTTGGAGTGTGGTCGATCAATGTTCATTGGTCGTTTGACTATTTCACTTCCCCTAATGTGATAATGGTCAAACGTCTTGGAAATTTGAGTCACTCATGACCTACCCCTATTTCCTGCACCCCAAATTAGATAACCTTAAATGCAATCCTCAATTTGCCTACCACTTAAATTCTATAAATAGGTCCCAATGCCTCTCATTTCTCTCAAATTCCCTATTCACCTCGTAGACTTTCAACAAGTCTTCTCATGCCATTCTTCTCCTCCAAGTTTTCAAATCTTCAACAAAAGCTCACGAAGTCAGGTAATATCTAATTTCCTACGTTTTTTTCCTTTCTTCTTTCATGGTGTTTATTCGAGAGTGTGACTCATTTAGGAGGGTCATAGAGTCTCTGAATGATGTCGAGTTTTGTGAGTTAGAAATAAATGTTTGTAAAGTTGAAATGGGGTATGTGTTGGATAAATGACTTCAAACAGAAGATGGATGATTGTGTGGGTTTAAAAAACAATGTACAAAAAGATATCTTTCATAAAATCAGAGTTTAAATTAAGTTTGTGGCACAAATACGGTAAAAGTAGTGGAAAAAAGAAAATTATGGTGGAAAGAAAGAAAAATTGCATAAGTAAATAAATGATAGAAGTGTAAAGTGATAAAGGAAGAGAGAAAAAGACGAGAGATATAAAGGTTCAATCTAATAACGTGACATTTTCCTTTCCTCAAGAATTCCATCTTAAGAGTATCCATTATGATCTTGTGGGAGTTTTTCACAAGTTTTGGCTACTAACCTACTTACTAAAGGAATGGAGTTTTACATTGTCTATCCTCTCAACAAACCAAATTTAAACTACAAGACCTCCCAACCAACAAGAGATTTTACCACTAGGACAATCTCGAACCAAGAGAGAGCTTTTACCAGTAGTATAAACTCATGAATTAAGCAAAGAGATTTTACCACTAGACTAAACTCTTGACCAAACATGAGTTTTAATTATTGAGACCTCCCAACCAAATAGAGATTTTAGCAGATTCACCTCAACAACCAAACAAGAGCTTTTGATTTGGTTTAGCTATATATATAAAACTTTGAAATTAAATTTAATCGAATGGCTAATTAAGCAAAACCCTAAATTACCCTTAGATTATATTCAATTTAAATGTTATGATTTAGATTAAGTTAAAAAATACTTACTCTTTGAATAAGGTGATCCCCACTTGTGTGTGTGCGCGTGTGTGTGTGTGTCTTTATATATATATATATATATATATATATATATATATATATATATATATATATATATATATATATATATATATATATATATATATATATATATATATATATATATATATATATATATATATATATATATATATATATATATATATATATATATATATATATATATATATATATATATATATATATATATATATATATATATATATATATATATATATATATATATATATATATATATATATATATATATATATATATATATATATATATATATATATATATATATATATATATATATATATATATATATATATATATATATATATATATATATATATATATATATATATATATATATATATATATATATATATATATATATATATATATATATATATATATATAAAAGTGGGGATCAACTTATTTAAAGAGTAAGTTTTTTTAACTTACTCTAAATCATAGCCTTTAAATTAAATTTAATTGAATAATTAATTAAGTAAAACGCTAAATTACCCTTAGATTAGATTCAATTTAAAGGCTATGATTTGGAGTAAGTTAAAAAAACTTATTCTTGAAATAAATTGTCCCCCAACCACACACACACACATACGCACACGAGCGCGCGCGCGCACACACACACACACACACAGACAAATATATATACAGAGAGAGAGAGAGAGAGAGAGAGAGAGAGAGAGAGAGAGAGAGAGAGAGAGAGAGAGAGAGAGAGAGAGAGAGAGAGAGAGAGAGAGAGAGAGAGAGAGAGTCAAAATACATTTTCTGGTGTAACTTGAAATGAGGGGGAGCCATTTATTTATAGGAGAATTGGGTCTTTGGCCTAGTGGTGGAGGTTTGGGTCTTGAGAGTGTGTTTCTCTCAAGGTCTCATGTTCGGGTCTTACTAGGTGTTAGACGATGGCACAGATCTAGAAGGGGGGATGAATAGATCACTTGTTAAAAATAGAGTCGGTGCTACTAATATTTGGTTTTAAAAAGTTTTTAGGCGGAAGCGGCCGAGAAACTATATTCGTCTAAAACGAACCTTTACAGGAAAAACCGGATATGCACAAAGCCTATGGAATCAGATAAAAACGAGATTTAAGAATCACTAATTTGAACACACATCAACCAGAATTTATTCACTATAAGGTTTGACTATATTCAATGCTTGAAAAATATAATCAAATTGAAAAGACAACACAAGCGTTTGTTGCTCACACAATTAGTCAAATACTTGGTGTGTAAGGTACCACAAGTGAATTCCAATATGAGAGTGAAGTGCTTAAGTGTTCAATTACAATCAAGGATTGTAATAGGCTTCAAAAATGGTTCAGCACTACTCGCATCAGAATTTTGATTAACTCAATTGTTTGCACACAAACTCATAAATTAAACAATTGAAAAGTAAAGAGAGAACACCAATTTGTTGAGGCAGTTCCCTCGTCGTCCTCACTCGGGGTACGTCTGCCCTCAATTCTAAAAATAGAATTGAGACATGTATATAGATATAACTTATTGGTAAATGTTTACAAGAGAAGCAATAGAAATCAAACGATCAAACACAATTATTGATGTAGAGCCTATTCCTTCTCTTCCCTTGATTCAAACTGAATCAAGTCCTTCGAACGCGATGAATAAACCTCTGATTACGGCACACCCTTTGAACAACCCCACGGTCTTCAAATCTTTCCCGACTGATTTCAACTACCAACGCTTCGAACCTGAATCTTCCTCTCACAATCCTCTGGTTACCGCTACTAAACCGACAGAACAACTCGTTCTTCGATTATCTTCGCTCGGCTGAATCTGTGATGGACCGGTTCATGTAAAAACCCCCCAAAATCCAAGATTCTTGGAGGACAAAACCCTAACGGTTTTATTCAAGAAAAACCTTCTGATTTCTCAACCCAAACCCGATTACACCAATCCTATGTTTGGACGTTATCACCTCTAACAAGCAAAATGCACAACAAGAATGATTATGTGTAGTTGTTGAGAAAATGCAAGGAAGAGGATGAAGATGATGAGAACAATCACTATCTATTTTCACTTTTCTTGTTATTTTGAAGAATGAGCAAAACTCACTATATATGCAAGTCAAAACAAAGTAACCAACATAACAACCACAAAGACAGTTTCACATAAGAGAATTTTAACTGAAAACACGTGAGCGGTCGACCTATGCAGAAATGAGGGTCGACCTGAGCTTACCCGAATTTCATATTGTGCAGAAAACAGAACTTTGCGTCGACTGGAGTAGGTCATGCGTCGATGCAAAGCATGTAGAATTAGACAAATAGAAATGAACACGGTATGAGTCGACCGGAGGGTCGACGCAAGCACTCTTGAGAGTAGACCATTCAAAATGTTTTCTGTATGAGTCGACCAGAACAAGTTTGAGTCGACTCAAAGACCCAAAATATGCAAAAATGCATATTTTCATGTATCATGCAACTTTTGAGGTACTCTATCACATAGTAAGCTAGACAAACTTGACCAAACCTATATGAAGCATATATTGAACAATTTTTATATGTATTAAACAATGTTTTTGACCGATGTTTGACTCAAGAGGGATAAGGTATGCATATGTGACACAATGATACCGTCCAAAGTACATTTTTCTATCTATATAAGTTTTGACATCACTAAAACAAGTGTAGATACCTATGAGGATTGCCCTCACATACTCCCCCT